TATTAGTTTTTGCTGTTCTTTTTTCTCTCTGAGCCATCGGGCTCTTATTTCTTTTCTTTTCTTTTCTTTTCTTTTCTCTTTTTTTTTCTTTTTTTCTTTTTTTTTCTTTTTTTTGAATAAACAGGTCCTTATGGTCCTGGCTCCATATCCATTCTGGGGAGCGTCAGTCCGGTTCCTTTCCACCGGCAAGTSGAGAATGAAATACATGGTGAACACTCACACGCTTCCTTCCGTATGGCCGAAGGAACCCTGACCAGCATTGATTGCTCCTTATCCGGAGGATTGACTGTCAGCTTGCCCTTCCTCTTTTCCTCTCAGAGTCTATACTGACTCTGTCAGATATTACGTATAAAGCAAGAAAAGGGGAGAGATGTCTAGGCTGTTGAGATTATAATCTCAGTTATATCTTCATTTGGACCCTGTTCAAGTGTTGTGCCACTTCTTCCACACCAGTCTGTTGTCCAACTTTGTGGCGATCTTTCCTTGTAGGAGCCAGTCTCTTATGAATTTACGTCTCTTTGTGGCTGTCCTTTCTGGTCTTCCCTTCGTCGACATGGATACATCCCGCCATCTGGACCGAATCTCTGTTTCCGCCATTCTCAGCAGTAAAACCCACATTTCCTCTCTCGGCAGTCTTGGAGCATCTCCTCTTCCAGATTGCCCACAGCGCCAGCTTTCTGAGAAGGTGGAACCACACTTCCTTGCCACCATTGAGATTGTTAGTGTCGTTACATAGGAGCAGGATGTTAAGGGGGGTTGTGACCGGGGGGGGTGATGAGAAGAGAGAGGTCCATAGGAAGCRCACTTTGTTCCAGATCCATGTTGCCTCGGTGCAGTATAAGAGGCARTGAATTKTGTCCTCCACAGCGTTGTCAGTGCACAGTCTGCATGTATCAGTGTTGTCGGGGTCTGTGTGTTTTCTTCTCTTGTGGAGCCAYTGATTGGTTGGCAGGGAGGCGTGAGCTAGGAGCCATTGCATGCTTCGAATCCTCGTCGGTCTAATGGTTAGGTATTTAGTCCACGGAATGGTTATGGGGGTCGATGGGTCCAGGCTCAATGTGTCCCTCCATTTGGCTTTGAGTCTGGGTTCTGGGTCTGAGGTCTGTAGGCCTAGATCATAGCTGAACTTGACATCGTATTCTGCTATTGTCCTTATCTTCCCTGAGTTTCCCTGTTTCCATATCCATTCTTTCGGGTCGAATTCTAGCTCTGAGATACATAGATCCGGTCGGAAGATTTTCCACGGTATGGATTTTGCTACCCTCACTTTTCTCAGATGGAAAGTCTCCAGCTCCTCGCTCTGTGGGTCGTTGTTCTGAACTTCCATTTCATTTGTGCTGTGTCTTATTATCGGGTAAGTGTAGAACTTGGATAAGTAGCCGGATGGGTTTGTTCTAGCGACGAATCTATATGCTCTGATAGGTTGGGTTTGGGAGACTGGTATGCCCCAATCCCCGGACTTCCACGAGAATTCCTCTCTTAGGAGGGGGATCCATTGTGTTGGGATGCTATTTTGTATCAGTGTTAAGTTACGGGAGAGGGCGTGGCATCCTTTTAGTGTGGTGCATAGTTCCTGATCAGTCGCCCACTGTCCTTGGTCTTCTACCCAGATGTGTTTGACTTGCCACACTCCTTTTTCTACCCATGATAACCATCTCCGGTCCCGAGAACGCAGCGTCCAGGTTTTTCCACTGGGGTCGGTGATCCAAGGGTTGCAGAAAAGCGGTTGTCTCAAAACTTCTTCTCTGTTGCCTAGTGCCCCGTGTTTGCTCGGCATCATTTTCCGCCATGCTTTGATGGTGGGGCTCCAATATTTGTTGACTGTCTGCGTTGGGTTAATGTTGGGCTGTGCAGGAGTGTGCTGTGTGTGATTTCTTTTGTGTGTTCTGCCGGACTTGATTGTCCAGTCCTTTGCCATAATCCAGAACAGGCCGTTCATGTTTCTGGGGGAGTTGATGGGGGCTAAGTTTCTGATGCTGTCTAACGCCATTTGAGTCCATGGGAGGAATTGTCTGGTGAGAATCTTGATTACCCATTTCATCTGTAGTGCTATGGATTCCTGTTTTGGGTCGATTATCCCGAGGCCCCCTTCCTGTGGCTTCCTAGTGATGTGGCTCCATGCGACCCTGTTGATGCAGGTGGTCCTGTTGGGGTCGCCTGTCCATAAATAGCACCTCACCCTGTTTTTAAGCTCCTTGAGGTCATCGTCGGGGGGGGACCAGATTGATGCCATGTACCACAGTGTAGAGAAGATCGCTGTGTTGATGAGAAGAGCCCGTCCGATTAGTGAGGCCTGGGCGTTTTTACACAGGGCTAGGTGGGTGATCGCTCTTGCTATCAGATTCTGGCCCATACCCGGCCAGACTCCTTTGTTGATCATGATGCCCAGAAACCGTAGTGCTTGTTCTCCCGTAGTCCAAGTCATGGGTGTGGTTGTGTCAGGAGGTTGAGGCGGGGTGCCGTCTGCTAACCACCATCCTTCGGTTTTATTCCAATTGACCCTCATTTCTGATGCTAGTCTAAATGCTTCCATTGCCCTGACCAATGATTGGAAGGAGCTGTTGTTTACTCTAATGAGTACCGTAAAGTCGTCAGCGAACATGAGTGCAGTGGGTAGGGCGAAGTCGTGTAGCGGGTTGAAGTTCCGTTCCGTGAGGCGGTCAATTGACGGGTCTTTCAGGAGGAATGAGGCTATGGCTTCCATTATGAAGAGAAAAATGGGGGGGGCCAGTGGGTCGCCTTGTCTGACTGATCGTGAGATTGGGTAGGTTTCTGATAGGATTCTATTGACCTGGACTCTTCCTGTTGCATCTGCATACATGATTCTCACCCAACTTCTGAAGTTCGGGCCTACCCCCATTTTTTCCATGCATGCGTGGAGAAAATCCCAGTTAACTTGGTCGTAGGCTTTCTCGAAGTCGAAGAACAGGATTGTTGCCTTCATACGCTTCTCCGTGATCTTCTTTGTTGCTTCATTCAGCGTCATTACGTTGTCTAGTATGCACCACCCTGGGATGAAGCCCGTTTGGTCGATGTGGAAGCAGCTGGTAGTTAGTTTTGTGATTCTATTTGCGAGCGCCTTGGCTAGGATTTTGTATGGCGTGGTTAGCAGGGAGATAGGTCTATAATTTTTCAGGTCTTCTTTATCTCCCTTCTTGTACAACAATGAAACTACGCTGGTGCTCAATTCCTTGCCTAGGCCTCCTCTGCGCATGCTTTCGTTGAAAAAGTTGAGTAGGTCCTCTCCCAGGGTCGGCCAGAAGGAGCTCCAAAATTCCTTTGAGAGGCCGTCGATGCCCGGGGCTTTGTCGTTTCCCATCTGGTTCACGATTGTGTGCAGTTCGGCCAAGGTCAGTGGTTTGTCCAGGCCTTCTACCTGACTAGCAGAGATGGTTCTATCGAGGTACGATAGCATCAATTGGCGGGCTGCTAGATTCACTGTTGTCGGGGGTGACGGGGTCTTGGCTTCGTATAGATCTGCGTAGAAGGATCTGGCTATCCCTACCATCTCCGTGCTAGTTGTTTTTGTGTTTCCCGAGTCCGATGGGTCTTTGAGTGCTTCTATCATGTTGTTCCTGGCGTTCGACTTGATCTTAAAAAAAAAGACTTTTGTCATCGACTCGTTAAGTGCATAGTCTGTCATCCTCGCCCGTATTTGTAAACCTCTGAGTTCCCATCTTCTCCATTTGTTAAGTTCATCTTTGGTGTCGTCTAGTAGTTCCTGGTAGAACCTACTAGTTGGGTCCTGCGCTAGGTTTTCTTCTGCGACGATCATCGCGAATTGGAGTTCTTCCCTTCTTCTTTTTCAATCTCTAGCAATATCCCTTGATTCYGCTGATACTGATTGAGATAGTTCTGTGTAACTGTCAATGAACCATTGGTGGCTGTTTGTTCTCCTTGATTCTCGCTGCTTATTGATAGCCCAGTTTTCCTGGACTGTCGCCTTCATTCTTTCAGTTTTTAATAGTGAGTTGTTGACCTTGAAGAAGCCTTGGCCTGTTTGAACTGGTACATTAAAATTGAGCAGCATCTTAATGGGTTTGTGGTCTAGTCCCTTGAAGACCGTTGATGGAAGGATTTCGATTAAAATTGAGCAGCATCTTAATGGGTTTGTGGTCTAGTCCCTTGAAGACCGTTGATGGGAGGATTTCGACCTCTTTGACTGTTCCGAGTAAGTTCTCGGATATGAGGAAGTAGTCAATCCTGGACAGCGATGTCCGGTTGGCTTGGTTTCTCCTAATCCGGGAGAAAACTCTCTTGTCTGGGTGCAGCGTCCTGAGAGGGTCACAGAGTTTGAATTCAGTCATCAAGTTTTGTATCCGGGTGCCTGCTCTAGTGGGTCCCATTAGTACCGTTCTTGAGATGCGGTCCATGTTCGGGTCCAGGGTTGTGTTCCAGTCCCCTGCGATGATTACTGGTTGTGGGTTGGGGATGAGGGGTTTGATATTTTCGAAGTAAATCAGTCTGTCAGATTCCGTGTTGGGTGCGTACAGGCTGAGAATTCGCAGGTCCTCGCCTTGCCATTTAATGTCGATCCATGACCATCTTCCTTCCTCTCTATCTCCCTCGCTGTTTAGGAACTGTCCTTCGGTCAGGATTTTTGACGTTTTTGGGATCAGTATCGTTGTCCCTCTATTGCTAGGACCGTCTCTGTTGGACCACCTTGCGACTGCACATCCCCCTACAGCTCTCTCCATCCTCTGCTGTATCTTCGGGTGATTGATCAGGTTGGTTAGATGTGTCTCTTGGAGGAGTATGAGGTCGGGTTTGGGTATGTCCTTCCCCACCAGACCTGTCCGGATGTCTCTGAACTTGTCTTCGTCGGACAGGATGCTTCCCAACCCGTTGACGTTCCAGCTAACTATCTGGAGTCCTCTGGCGTGCCAGTTAATCCTGGGTGGGCTGCCTTGCCCCTGTCTGATTGCTGTGGAAATCCGCATTTGCACTTATTCTTTTCTTTTCTTTTTTTTCTTTTTCTCTTTCCCTTCCTGTTTTTGGTCTTTGGTGTTGTGATTTCATTTTTGTTTGTGAGGTGAGGTTATCTTGCTGGATCGGTGATTCATTCAGTCCACTGCCGCCTGGGTCTTGCTGCTGTCGGTATCGGAATCCCTACTGTCCTCACATGCTGCTGAGGAGCTCAAGCCGTACTCCCCAGCGCTGCTGTCCGACTTAGTTGGATGCCCAGCGTCGTCTCCCCCTGGGGAGAACTTGTTGTCCACTTCCCTCTCTGCCTCCCCCTCGTCGTCATCCATGTCGGACTCTTCCCTTCCCATGTCCACGTAGATGGGGGTTGCCTCGTCTTGCAGCAAGGTCTTGGAGGTCAGAAGGCGGGTCCTGATGATGTCAGCCAGCGAGTCTGCAATGATGTCGGTCGTGCTGAACCTCCCGCTCAGCACGTTGTACGGCATCATGGTGATTGTGTCCCATGCCCTCCAGGTCAGGCCTTCGCTGAGTTTCGCCCTCTCATCGAGCTTGACCAGGATGGGGTCGAAGGGGGTGAAGATCGGTTTCTCCAGCGTCTTCCCTTCGGCTGTCTGCTCTCGTGGTGGGACCCCATACACCTCCAGTGCGGTCTCCGCTGTGACATTGTCCCTGATGCTCTTGGCCAGGGCTCTGTCGTCGTCGAGGGTGGGGATTGTGAACGCTGCGTCTGTGACCACCTGCCACTCATTGAGTTTACTTCTGAACCGGACTAGCAGCAACGGTCTTACTGCCCTGGTGGTCCCCCTATCAGTGCTTGCTGATATGGGAACGCTGGGCGCTTTGTTTTCTGCAATCATGCGGACTGTGATAAACTTCTCGCCTTGTTCCTTCTTGTAGTCCTGGTTCTGGTCGAACAGTCTCTTTGTCTGAGCTGCCACTGTTGCAATCTCCTGCGTGAGTCTGCGCTGTTCGTTCTTGCTGCCCACTTCGTGTTTGGGGGGCCCCCTTGATCTTTTGTCCCTTCCCTTCGATGGTTTCCAGTTTTTGGACACCATGTCGCGGATCGAGTCTCCAGATGTTTGGGGGTCGAAGCCTGTGCCACTGTCGTTTCCAGCAGAATCCCTTTCTCTCTTTTTTTAAAAATATCTGAAAGCGCTGAACTCCGACAGTTCGGAGTTCATGCGCAGCAATTCGAAGAAGTTTTTGGATTGAGGGATTCCTGCCACTGTTTTACCAGTGGTTGGTTTCCCTGTCTTCTCCAAATGTTTCATGCAGGCCAGTCTGACGTCAAACTCCTTTTCCCTTTCGTATTTCGCTCTCTGCAGGTACTCCTCTAGCTAGGGGATGGGGCTCAATTTGCTTTTCGAGGTGTCCGTTCCTGTCTTTGAGTCCGTTGCTGTCGAGTCCGGGTCTGTCCCGGGGGGGGTGTCGCCAGTGGGGGGCTGTTCAGCTCTGGGGGTTTTGCCTGATCCTTCCTCAATTGCCCTTCTCTTCTTCCCTGTCCTGTCATCTTGAGTGCTCTTGGATGATGGAGAGGCGTTCCTCTTGAGTGCAGGGGGGATCTCTGGTTTGGGATGACAGTGTTCCAGGGTTTGTTTCGCTTCCTGCAGCAGCGTGTTGTTGTCCAGATTGGTGTTCTGGCACGTTTCTGCTGTTTTAAACCTGATCGTCTCCATGTCCCACAGCAGATCTTCGTGTTTTTTCTCTTCTCTGATCGCCCATGGGTCGATAATTTGATCTTTGTGGATTTTGCCCGGAATGCCTGTTACTTTCTTTGCTCCCACTGCGTGCCATCTGCTGTCTGAGGGAGGAAAAATGTCTGGCTGTTTCGTTGAGGGGTTCGTGTGGTATGTCCAGATCCATTTCGGGTCGTCAATGGTGTCGTCGAAGACCCATCCGTTGTAGTCCTGGTCATTGACGAACCAAATTCCCTTTGCCTCTTCAACTTCCACCAACATGTTCTGTCTCAATTTTTTTTCTTTGGAGTGCTCCGGGGATATCGGGAACGCTGGGTTAGTGCCCAGGTGTCCTTTCTCTCTGCACCTGAAACAGATTGGGGCATCTTTGGTCGAGACCGTGACCGAGGATGCTTCCTCCCCTATGCAGAATTCCCATTCTTCCGGGAATTCGGGATTTGATTCCGTGTTAACTTCCAAAACCGTTGTGATGGAGTCACAGTGTGGGGCCAGGAATTCTGGAGTTGGAAGTACCCATTTCAACACTTTGTTGTTTGGGTATTCCACCTCCAGTCGGTCCTTGATCAGTGGGTGCCCTCTAATCGGGATGTTGTCGAACTGGACCCAAAATTGGTCCCTCCCGAGTCGCTGCTTTTGCGCGGTTGCCGGGGAAATCATGGCTTTCTGTGCTGTTTCCTGTCTCCAGCAGGACAGTGAGCACACAGACCCATTGCAGTTCAGGGTGGTGTGTCTGCTGATCAGGTTGGATGCCTGATCGGCGTCTTTGAAGACCACCATCATCATGTTCTTGCTGAGAACCAAGATGGAAAATTTATCAGTGCTGGACCTAAGATTTTCATGTCCCTGCACTGTCCTTGTGATCCACTTGCGTTTCTCGATTTCCGGGAGGCGGGCTCCTGTGTTGGAGAACGTGAATACTAACCCGTGTTTTGCGTACATGGCATTGGTAGAATCAATTTTTTCCTTCGGGTAGCACCAAACTGTGATTTCCTTTTCTTCCCCGTTCTACTGCACTTTTTTTACTACTTTTTCTCCTTTGATTTGTGGGGATTCCAGTAGGAATCGGAGGGTCTCGTGGTCGACTAACGCACAGTTGGACTGCAGATTCTTGTCTGCATTCTTTGCATTCGTCGCCACGATCGAGGAGAATCGGCGCTGGAAAGTGATTGGTGTTGACGTAACCATCCCGATCTTGGTCTGTCGTGGCCGTTTTTGCTCTGGGTGGGGGGTGGGAGGTGGGGGCGAGGAACAAGGTGTGGCGTTTTTAATTTTTGCTTTTTCTTTTTGGTTTTCTTCCTTATACCCTTTTTGTTTATGTTTTTATTCAACTTATCCTTTTAACTTTTTCCCTTTTTTTTCTTTTTTTTTCAATCCTTTTTCTATTTGGGGTCTTGAGATTCTGGCGAAAGGCCGACGATTGAGTAATCAGCAAATTGATGCAAAAATTGTATTTGTCTTTTTTCTGATTTTTTGGTTCCTGGTGACGTATTGGGTCTAGAGTTGCTCTAGAATTTTACTCGTGGTTGGCTTACGTGTTTCCTGTATTTACGCTTTTCCACTGATGGGGGGAAGGGGCACTCACTTCGAGAATAATAATCAAGTCGGAATTGTTGAGGGGGCGATGAGGTGAAGACGCTAGGTGTCTAGATTCCTATTTTTTAATTACGTGTTTTCGTTGGTTCCGTGGGTTGTTGGTGTTTAGTGTTCACGATCCGTTGCCGGGATCGTGACAGCGGTGGGCGGCAGCTGCATGCATGTGGTCGACGTGGCCTGGTCGGGGCTATGCCTGTCTCTTATACACATCTAGATGTGTATAAGAGACAGGTGGGGGGGGGCGGAGGGGTTGGTTTGTGACTACTCGCGCCTTGGGGGTGGGGGTTGTGTGTGGGTTATGTAACGGGCTCTGATGGGGGGATAGTGGTATAAAGGATTTGGTCGGCGAAAATAGGAGAGGGGGAGGGTTGCGAGCTTGGGCGTGGTGGAAGGGGATGTAATGGGGGAGGAAAGGGAGAGGGAGGGGAAGGAGTTTGGAGACGGTGGTCACGAGCTTGGACGTGGTGGGGGGGAGATGGGGTGGGGGAGGAGAGGGGTTTGTGAGAGGGAGGGGAAGGAGTATGGAGGCGAGGTATATGTGTTAGTCGGGGTTAGAAACACTTCACTTCACTCGATGTATGACCGAATGGGTGGAGCAGTCTCCCTCGAGGTCTTCGATGGGGTCTATTCYGTCAYGAGGCAGGAGGTGGGTGGCCAGCTGGCTCGTGCTGGTTCCTCCTTCGCTGGGCTCYTGGCTGGGGGCTTCTACCGTCTCCTGAWCTGACGYYGGCTGGGCGACTGTGGRACGTCGCCCGTTAGGTAGATTGTTCCTCTCGAACTGGTGGYTGGCGGCTCCTCGCGATGCTGGTGCTGGAGCTCGTGGTCTGGASTGGTCTTCGTCACTTCCGAAGATGGTCTTTATCGGGTACGTTTGCTCGGAGAAGGTAGGCTATGGTGAGCCCAGGAGCTCTCCTTTGGCCTTGCATGCCCTGCTTGCATGCAGTTGTTTTCTCCTCCTTTCCGGGCRATGGCRGGCGAWGTTGTCAGGCTTGGCGATGGCGAGTATTTGCGCGCGCACCGRGCGCGCGCCTGCACGGGGGGGCTAGCCCCCACGTCGSGATGGCGGGYGTCGCTTGCCCGCTTCGAAATTCGAAAAGTGGCGGGTGCTTCCTGCGAGCGGCTGGGCGGGAGGGCGGCGGGCGGCGGTAGCTGGAAAAAGGTTGGCGTCAGCCCGTAGGGCGTCGCCGGGCGCTGGCGCAAATTAGCGCTGCGCTGTTTTTTGCGCTAACCGGTTGGCGCGGGCACAATGTCTTCCCATTTTCGGGCTCTTATTTCTGTTTGTATTATTAATTTGATTTCCATCCATTTCTCTTCTATATTTGGGAGTTGCCCTTCGAAGTTACCTTTACACCTTGCCTTCCACACTACCCAAAGTGTCGCCCTCCTCCAAAGACCAGTCACACTGGCTGTTTCTTCATCTATGTCTCCGTTTTCTATTCTGCCTGTTAGAATGTAAAGTGGGCTATCCGGAAAATCACAGCCTGTTAATTTAGTCCAGAGACTTTTTGTTCTATTCCACGTCTCTTGTGCTTGATGACACGTTATTAGACAGTGAATTTGGGATTCTTTGACACCTTCATTGCATACCTTGCACTGTGCGATTTGCTGTTGGGAGTCCTCATGTTTCATTCTTCTGGTCAGCCATTGGTTGACTGGAACTGCCCAGTAGAGAATAAGCCACTGCAAACTTCTGATTCTTACCGGTCTTATGTTTATGTACTGACTCCATGGGATTTTATTTGCCCATTCTGGGCTTGTGTTTAGGTTCTTTTTCCATCTTTCTGTAATTACCGGTTGGGGATCCTTTGTCCGGTTGCCTAGCTTGTACCCTGTTTTAACTTGATAGTCGTATATTGTGGTAAGCTTTTTGGCTCCCCCCGAGTTACTAGGGACCATCCAGCCCCATTCTGCCGGATCCACCTCTAAGTCTTTAATGCCCAGATCTGGTCTAAATAGCCTCACACTGTTAGGTTCTGTCTGTATGGACGTGTTATGCTTTTGACGGTTCTTGAGTGTGCATGCTCTTACTCTTTTGAGGGTATGGAGATTTTGCATTGATCTTTGTTCTATTACGTTTTTTGGCTTTACCCAAGATTTGTGCCTGTCCTCTAAGCTATAAACAGCGAACTCGACCTTCCCTTCCTCTGGGTCCATCACTTGGATCAACTTATAGGCAACAGTTGGGGAGTCTGTTTCTCTATTTGTGGCCCAGTCGCCTTTTGACCATTTGGGTTTGCTCTTCAGCAGGAGTACCCAATTCAGGGGAATACTTTCTAGGAGTTTTTCCAGCTGTACGTTTAGGTTGTTGACTCCCTTGAGTTTGGTTCTGAGGTCTTGGGCGGTGACCCATCTGTTCTTTTCCGAGATCCATAAGTGCTCTATTTTCCAGACTCCCATACTCATCCATTTTCTCCAATGTCTGCCCTTCGTATTTAAGGACCAAGGTTTGCCGTTGTGGTCCCTCAACGAGGGGTTCCTGAAAAGCGGTTGCCTCAGGACTTCCTCTTTTATTTTTGGGGCTTTGATCTTTTGGGGGAAACAATTTCTCCAGTGTTTTATTAGAGTGGCCCAGTGTGTACTGGGTGGATCCTTATCCCTTGTCGTTCTCCCCCTTTCCACTCTTCTTGGGTTCCATGAGGGATTGAGAATCCAGTGGTATCCCTCTATGGTGGGGTCGACTTGGAATAGTATCAGGTTGCGAATTTGCTGGAGGGCCATTTCGTGCCATGGTAGCTCTTTGTTAAAAAGGAGTTTTATAATCCATTTGTGTTGTAGCGCTTGAAATTGTGTTGCCGGGTTCAGGAGTCCCAGACCCCCTTGAAGTTTGGGTCTGGTGATGTATTTCCAAGCCACTTTAGAGATGTAATTGTCTTTTTCCGCTTTCCCGGTCCAGAGGTAAGAACCTAGTTTCCTTTTGAGGGTTGTGAAAAAGCTTGTGGGCGGGTTCCAGAGAGACGCTACATACCACCCTGTGGACAGGATTGAGGTGTTGATTACTAACACTCTACCCATAAGTGAGACGTTTGTTGCTTGCCACCCGGCGAGCTTGTTTGTCATTTTGAGCAGCAGGCTAATTCCTGATGTGTTGCTAGTCCTTTCGATCGAGCCACTGTAAACCTTGGGTGTCTAGAGTTTGATGAGGAGGGTGTGAGGAAGCTAACCACCAACCCACTGTTTTGTTCCAGTTGATTTTCATTTCTGCTGCTAGTTTGAAGGCTTGCATTGCTTTGGTGAGGGCTTGGAATGATGAGTCGGACGCTCTAATAAGCACTGTTAGATCATCTGCGAAGAGAATAGCGGTAGGGATGGGGAGGGTTCTGCCCTCTTGTCTGACTGCTACTCTTTCTATTGAAGGGTCCTTGCGGAGGAAGGCTGCTATTGCTTCCATTACGAATAAGAAGATTGGGGCTGCAAGAGGATCCCCCTGCCTGACTGATCTGGTCATTCTATATTTTTCTGAAAGATGTCCATTGACCTGTACCATCCCCCTAGCCTCCCAATATAGTACTTTCACCCATCTTCTGAAGTTTGGTCCTACTCCCATTTTTTCCATACTTCGCTGAAGGAAGTCCCAGTTTACTTGATCGTAAGCTTTTTCGAAGTCGAAAAATAATATGGCTGCTTGTATTTTTTTGTCTCTTATGAGCTTGGTTGCTTCGTTAAGGGTGACTACGTTATCAAGTATATATCTCCCAGGAATGAAAACCGTTTGGTTTATGTGAAAACATTTGTCTGTTTAGTCCTTATTCATTTAGCCAGGGTTTTAGCTAGTATTTTGTAGACTACTGGTAAGAGTGTTATAGGCCTGTAGTTCCTTATATCTGTACGGTCTCCCTTCTTGTACAGTAATGTGACTACACCGGTGCTGCAGTCCCCAGCTATGGAGCCTTTAGCGAAAGCCTCTTTGAGGAATGTTGTGACGGTTTCCCCTACTTGGAGCCAGTTTGCTTGCCAGAACTCCTTTGGTAGCCCGTCTTTACCTGGAGTTTTGTTAGGCTGCATACTCTTGAGGGCTTCAAATAGCTCTGCTTTAGTTATGTTTTTTTCTAAAAATTCTATTGATTCCTGATTGAGGCTTTTGTCTAAGTGTTTTAGGAATTTCTCCCTTGCTTTTCGCACATTGCCAGGATTTTCTAGGAAAGTTTTGGACGTGTAGAGGTTCTGATAAAAGTCTGACGCTACTTTCAGGAGACCCTCCTGCGACGTTTGTAAGTTGCCCAGAGAATCTCTTAAGGCATGTATTTGGTTGTTTCTGTGCCCTGCTTTTATCTTTTGGAAGAAGTATTTTGTCATGTTCTCATTGTTTTCCCAATCCTTTACTCTGGCCCTTATGGCCAGTCCTTGTCTTCTCCACTCCGCCCACTGATTAAGCTCTACTCTCGCCTCTTCTAGAAGTGCTCATACAAAATTGCTCTTGGGTTAGCTATTAAATTGAATTTTGCTATTTCGACCATTTCCTCAAGGCTTTGTTGTCTTGCTTTCCTTCTACTCGCTTCCTTTCTTGAGAATAGACTCGCCCAATGACTTATTTCTTGGATGGTTTGTGGGAGGTCTCTCACTAATTCTCCCTCTTGGAGATTCTCTTTCATTTCCTGCCACTTGGCTTTGAATTCTTGTTTGAAAGAGTCTAGTCTGAGTAGTGAAGTACTTAATTTGAAAAGACTTTTCCCCGGGGAGTTGTCCAGAGATAGCGCTAGATTTAAAGTAATCGGGTTATGGTCAAAACCTATATAATCGGGTATTCTACCTATTGAGCTGTCTACAACTGCCCCCTCTACTGATTCTGATATAAGGAAGAAATCTATTATGGAGAAGGAAGTTCTGCCCTGAATCGTTTTCCTAATGCAAGAATAATCTCTTTTCTCTGGGTTAAGGGTTCTGTACGGGTCTCTAAGGATATTTTCTTCTGCTAGATGAGCTAGCGCCGTTTCTGCTGGGTCCTGTAAACTATGTTTTGCCCATGAGATCCTGTCCAGTTGCGGGTCCTGGATCGTGTTCCAGTCTCCTACTAGTATTGTATGTTTCTGTGGTTGGATTAGGCTTCGTAAGTCCTCGAAAAAAGATATTCTCTCTGCTGATGAGTTAGGAGCGTAAATGTTTAAAAGTGTAATGTCTTCCCCTTCGTGCGTTATTTCTAGCGTGGTCCATCTTCCCTGGACTGGGTCTGTGGTGGATGAGTTAATTTGCAGGTGTTGCGTGGCTAAAGCATGGTTATGTACCAATGTGATGACCCCTGGTGAAGCTGCTTGTGGGCTGTGCGCTGAAATGACTGCTGCGCAGTTTTTAAATCTCCCTAAAATCTCTTTTTCTATCGTTATGTGTGCTGGTGTGTTAGTTAAATGTGTTTCCTGAAGGCAGACCAGGTCAGGGGGATTTGGGGTATTCCAACCTATTGTGTTCATTAGGCAGTGCCACTTTTGTTGGTTTGACAGGATTGTTGCCAGCCCCCTCACATTCCAGGATTGGATTTCCAGGTCCCCCCTTGTTGCTTTCATGGTTTATCGGGTCTGAGCCCTCTGACCCAGAGTTATCTTGGAAGCATCACCGAGTTTAGCTTACGAGCCTTCGCCAGCCTCATAGACTATTCTTGTCTATCCATCTTTGTAGCCATCTATGCTCTTTTTTTTCTAGCCTTATGTGCCCCTC